CAGCTCCTTGGTGTTGCTAGATGGAAAAGGCCAGGAAAACCCCACGACCTCCATGTCCTCCTTCCTTAGAAATGTAAGGTTTATTCCTTAGCACTGCAGCTCCTGGAGCCCAGGGATTCTGGCAGCCTTTTGGTTTGGTTGGAGGCTCTGCTTTTTTAAGGACTTCTAATCCCTCTGTTTGCCTGGGGACCTTTCAAGATGGAACCCTAAAATGGCTCAGAAGTTAAAAGGTAAACAAAAAATACTTTTAATAATTCACTGATAGGTAAACTTGGCTGGCAGCTTTTGAATGTGGGAGCTGCTGACAGCAGCTCTTTGTAAGCATGCTAAACTGCACTTGTAGATGGACAAAGGAAGGCTACCGTTTTATATCAGAACCATAAAAACATATCCCTTATTAGAATTACAAGTTTCTTTTCCCTTCTTTTTTTTACGAATAACAGTAATAATTCTCTCTAATGAAGGTAGAGGTCATAGCAATGCTTATTCAGTCTTAGTAAGAGGAATTCTTGCAGCTTTTGTACATGTTTGGATGGGCTTTCTGTGTCACTATATCTATAATATGTATTTATGGTTGTTTAAAGACTCGAATAGTTCATGGAATAAATTCTGACATGCTATAGCCAGGAGCCCTGTGGGTTTTCATTATACTATTGATTAAAAAGCCCACTACTACGCAGCAAAGATAAAGGACAGAATTGGGAACTGGGCAGAAATACCTTTTACTCCATACAAATAATTTCACATTTTTTATAGGAGTCTTGGCTTATTTTTTTCCTCAAGATAATCTCTGCCTTTGTTTGAAAAAGGTTATTGATTGGATTGTTAACTTAAATAGTCTGTGGCGGGTGTGACAGAGCACATGGCTGCAATTAATCTTGTGATGCAAAATCCATTATTGAAGAAGCACTAATGAGCCGTTTGCAGGCCTTGGCTGGTCACAGAGCGCCTGGGAGCAGCAGATTGCTGCTGCCCTTTAATGTCAGTTTTGGTCTTTAGTGTTGCACAGGCAGTGTAAGCAGAAGAGAATATTAGATTTTTTTAAGGGTGTTTCCACTTAAATTCTCCTTACCACCAGCCTGCAATTGTACTGAGTGCGGGAGTCATGAAATGGTTGCTGAAATGCTTTCACCCCCCATTCCTCAGTTCAGGTGTTCAACGGACATAGTGTACAATTAAAGCCAGCGGCATGTGAAACGCGGATGTCACTGTAAAATATGATCTTGGTCGCAGAGTTCAGATCCAGATGAGAGTTTTGACATAGATGGGAGAGCATTCAGGGCTGATCTATACTTTAAAATATTGCTCTAAGACAAAGGGATGAGCTGTTGGAGACCCGCTCACTGCAAATTTTATTGTCTCTGTTGTTTATAGCTATTGCGGCATAGCAAAAGTTTAGGTAGAGAATAGTTATGGTAGATTAGAAACTGTCGATGTTAACATATTGCCTTCTCCTTCAAGAGAACTGCTCCCTGGGTATATTTTAGAGGTCTGTCTATTGACTTCAGTGGCACCATAAATATGTGTTACTTCTTCTGTTAGATGCGCGGAGCTGATACAGACATGTGAGAGTGATCGGGACTTCTGCCGGGCTGAGACACTGCCTGAATTATAACCGAGTTCCCGCTGCAGATGCTGCACACCTTAACCATAGGAAATGCAGTTTATCACAAGATTAGCGAAATAGAAGTATTTCTTCATCTTGACCACATAACTGATGAAATTAAGCAAGAAAATCTTTCCTACTCTCTGGCTCATGCACTCCCATAGTATCTGTTACTGGAACTGCAGTTTTAAATGCTCTTTGTGTAAAGGAAAATTGTTCATGAGCTGAATTAACCTTTGTATTTTTTAAATGGATTCGGATCTATCGACAGTAACCTGCTGTAATGCAGCTTCAGGGCTTCCTCCTCATATATTTTCTGTGGAAGAAATGCCAAGGTGTGAAACATGGATGGTGTTTACTAATGCAATGCCAAGAAGTCTTGAGTGTATGAATTTCCTCTTGAGTTATGAAAAACACTGAGTTTTGAACCAAAGTAAGTGGAAAACAGAGAGATTGAGATGAAGAGAGAGCAGGGAAAAGTATTTCCATGTTTTGAGTGTCCACTCGCATGCTTACCATATGCTACAGTGCCTCACTGAGCTACTGGCATAATTCAAAATAATCATTCCAACAACATTAGGTTTGGGTCATGGAACTACAAGGCATGTTGTTTAATGTGAAAGAGAATATGACTTGGAGACAGAAAGAGATGTCCATGAGGCTTTCTTTCTGCCTCAGGCATATCTTGAGAGTAGACTATGGCTGTGCAGATGTCACTGTGGGCATTTGTTGGACTCCTTCATCATCACAACATTTGGAGAGAGAGGCCAAAGGTGTAAGTAAGTCGATGTTTTTTTGCAAAAGATTCTTTCTTTGCTATTAAAAAGTTGTCACAGCAGCCCTCACTCTACTTTAATGTTTTCTAAGAGATCTTCAGCCCACAGAAGTCCCATTCTTTTAGTCTTGTGATGAGTGCAGTGCTTAAGAAAGGCTCTACAAAATAGGATGGATCACTTCAAGGACGAAGCACCATTGATACCAGACACAGCGCAGGAAACCTGCGGAGGTATTTCTGAGGAGAGTGAGGAACTAGACAGGCAAGATGGATAGCTAGAAGAGAACAGGAATGAGTGTGAAGGGACAGAAATAAAGCAGTGAACAGAACCTGACCTTCATTTGGGAAAGGGAGTCTCTGGCTATAGTCTGCAATGAGCAATGTGTGCACACAGGCAAGTGAGCACATAAATGCATGTATGCAATTAACTTTGATTTATTTCTGTAAGTTTGATTCCATTCTTTCTGTTTCTTTTCAAATGTGACTGAAGCTATTTAACTCTGTGATTAATTCATGCCTCGTATGAGTTGTTTTCTTTGATATACTCCAGCACTGCACAACCTTTCTTGATGCAGACTTGCTGCCATTGGGATGAATTCCTCCCTGCTGTGTAGTGTGACCCATTTGTTCTCTTCAGTGGCACTGAAATGAGGTTCTGCATTTGCTGTAAATCAGATCTGGAGGATTATTTCAGTGTTATGTTGGGTTTTGTTACTATTATACAAGGTCCCCTCAACAAGAAAAAGAGTCATGTCACAGGATCTCTTTCTGGACAGTTGTGACTGCAGGGTCCCCAGAATTTCAGTTTGGACTTGGTCCTATGTCAATCTCAGCAAAACGTGACTCATTTTTTTGCTGACATTTCAAGGGAACCAAGAGGTAGCAATCTTCTTAATTCGTCAGTACACACTTCTTTGTTCAAAGGCTTAGAAGAATGATATGAACATATCTTCTTTGCTTTATGTTCAACTCCCCTCATAACTTATGTACACACATTTCATTGCTGAATGAGCTTAGTGGTCATATCTCTGCCCTGTGAATGAAGCTGGGGAACCAAAATCCTTATTCCACCATTTTGTGACAGCTTGGCCACATAAAAGAAATATATTTCTCACGCATTACAGTTAACCAGCAAGTGTTTGCTTTGCTAACTAGAAAATATAGATGGTGTTTATTCTTGTGAGTGATGTGACGGCACGACAAAATACCAGTGATGGATCTGGTAATGAAGACAGCGCATCAGTGTGCACATCTCCACTACCCATGCCTTCCTTTTCTTCTTATCAGAGAAACAGCTCTTTTTTTTTCTCCACTCTTAAAAAGAGACACTCAAGCTCATGGAGGTGGAAAAGATTTTTTCTACCTATTGGCTGTTGTCTAAGAACAATGGATCTGCTAGTAGTGAAAACCGCCTGCACACTCAATGGTGTAAGTTTCTACAAGAAGCATGCGGTAGTGCCGGATGTGGTAGCTGTATTTCTAGGCTTTCTCTGCCTATAGATGAGCAATTGGAGAACCCTGTCCCATTTTCCCTGCCACTGATTCTGCACACTGCCTTGTGCTTATATGTGCCAGAGAGAGATACTAAATGCAGGGCTTTCCAAACAAGCAATAGTGTATTGCAGGTGAATTAGAGACTGCTTCACCTGGATAGGGATGGTTTGGGAGTGCAGTGCTTTATTTCAGTGGCATATTTTTCTTGTTTTGTTTTGCAGAAGGAACACTGATCCTACCTTTGGTTTGTTTGTTTGTTTGTATTTTCCCCTCCAGACAGCCCATTGCTGACCCTGCTACTGTGATACCGCTGTTTTGCAAAGCTGGAGTCCACACGCATGTAGGGGCGGGGGTTGTGACTCTGGCAGTTTGTCCTTCCCCTCTAGATGTGACTGTTCTGCTAGCTTTCCCTTCTTTATTCCTTTGGTTTAGTTCATTGCGGGAGTTGGCTTGGGGTGTTTTCCTTTTGGTTTCTTGTTTTGATCCTGGAAGGTTAGCTGTGCAATTTGGTTTCTTCTGTGTCAATCAACTTTAGTGGCAGAGCTCTTAAAAAACTTGAAAGCTGTATCCCTCCATCTTGTCTTACTTCTTCTCTATATGCTACTGCTTCCAATTAAGCCACGTTTACAGAACTGCTCCACCCATTTGGACACCAGGAAGGGAAGCTCTGAAATGGAGAATAACCTCATTTCCACTAGGTCCTTCAGTCCAGTTGAAACAAAGGTAATTGAAACCGTAGTCCAATTTCTTTTGAGATGGATGGGCTCTTTCTGAAATTGGGTTTGTTTCTGATTTCATCCTTTCTCTTCTTTTCTTTCAAAAAAACCAAACAAAAAAACACAAAACACCAAAACAACAAAAAAAAAAGAAGACAAAGCCAAACTATTTTTAAGAGCTCTGAATAAAACTGCTTTGCCAATGGGGATTGGGTGGGAATGACTCTGATTTTCTCTTGTGCCCGGCAGCGAAAGGGTTAATGCCTGCTTTTCTCTTTGGTATCTGTTAGTTGCAGCCCATGTTGTGATCAGTCCACGTCCATGTGCGTTTTGTTCCCAAATTAATGACGGTTAATTGAGAATACATAAGCAAGCCTTAACCATGACCGTTGTTTCCAATCTTCCTCAGGACACCCGACCTGCCTGCAGTTCACCACAAACATGACTGAGGCTGTTAAAACCTATCAGTGGCAGTGCATTGAGTGCAAATCCTGCAGCCTTTGTGGCACCTCTGAGAATGATGTGAGTTGATTTACCTTTTCACGCCAATAAGTGTCACTGCAAGCTGCTGTCATGTCCGCCTTGAGAAGCATGTGGCAGTAGTGTGGGTCCTGGCTTTTCTGCTGCTTCCATACATATCCTAGGATGGCCCACCCCTGGGAGCAGAGCTGGGCTCTTCCCAGTGACCTGTTCAGCTGCTCATCTCTGATGAACTTATCATGGGTATTACATAGGGCCACCTGAGATGCCGATATGCTTATTCAATAGAAATTAGCATTGTGGCAGGGAGCTGCCAAAAAGTAGTATCCCCAATACTGTAATCAGGAGTAGATCTAAATGGATGATAACCCCAGAGATGGCGGGCATTTTTCTTCTGTCTCTGATTTTACTTTCTTCGTTCAATTTTAAGATTTTAATTATAATACTTGGGAATGGAAACATTTGGGTCTATACACCTAACTACTGATTCCAGGGATTTCCAAATGATCTGGGGTCTGCAGCTGAACAGTATCCTTTCTGTGGTTTTTTTTTTTTTTTTTCTTTCTTTCTTTCTTTGTTTTATCCCGATGCTAAGAATCCTTGGTAGTCTGTGAGAAACTTGGAGAATTGACTGTGGCTGAAGAATTTTAGAAGCAATAGTTCAGTCTACATTCCATATAGCAAAACGAATGTGAAGCCTGAAAGTTCATTTTGCTTTAGTGGTAAATGAGGAAATCTCAGAATAGGGACTCTGTGTTAGGAGTCAGAGGATACTTCTGAGAAGCATTTTTCTCCCCATATGAGTGAAAGAGCTGCAGGCCATGAGATAGGATTGTATTATTCCCATCTACTTCACAAACCATTCGGTACTCAGCTGAGTTTTGGATAACTGGCTAAGTCCAAGCTTTTGATGAGAAAGATTTCGCCTGAAAGGATAACATCCAGAGCTTGGCCATACTAACCCCACTGACTGGGGATGCCAGTCCTCTCAGTGCAGCATATCACTGACCTAATAGCCTTTGGTCCTACATTGTGAGGCTGCCTTGGAGAGGAAGCCCTCTGGCCCTCAGGAGGATTTTCCAATTAAAAGTGGATCTGCCATTGTGATGAGTTAGGGCTCTTTGTGGCCTCTCAGGAATATGATGTTTGATCTTGGGCCCACAAACGTGGTGGCTTTTACCTACCCCACGGTCTCTTAGTCTCTGTGTTGCAGCTCTGTGTTCCTAGTTGAGCACTGCTGGTTACCATGCTTATGTCTTCAGCTTGGCAAGAGACTAATTTACACCATTTTCTCTCTCTCTTCTCCTCTCCTTCTCTCCCTTTTCCCCTCTGTCTCTCCAACAACCCTGCCTCAGGACCAGCTGCTCTTCTGTGATGACTGTGACCGTGGCTATCACATGTATTGCTTGAATCCACCAGTCTTTGAGCCCCCCGAAGGTAACATATGTCAGAAGTCTGCTTTGAAAATCACAATGAAGTCCTTGTGGAAAAGAGATTCAGAAAGTTGGCCAGGATCGTGCAGGGTTAAGGAAGAAGTAGCAAAGGAAAAGCAAGCAGTACTGGGAAGAAAGCAAATGAGTAGACTTTGTGGGCTGGTGTGATCTGAGATGTCCTCTGCGATCTTGTCTGATCTCTCCTTCCTATTCCCAAACACGGCTCTTCTGCAGGTCTTGGGTACCTTTGGATGCCCCAGATGGCACTGGACACCTCAGTTCAGGCAGCTAGGTTAAGCTCCTGTGAACAGTCACTTCAGACTTCCAAAGAAGTCAAGATCCCAGAGAGAAAGCTCCAGATGAGAAGTCCTCTCTGGAATAGCTGAGTGTTGTCAGGAGACTGGATTAGGAGAAAAAGCCTTCGTTCTCTGACCCATCTCTGTCTTAGAAGGGTGAGGGTTTTAAGGTCTATACCGCATTCAGTGTGCAGTTTTGTCCTCTGATGAGGATTCAGTCTGAATTTACAACTACTGGTTATAGTTTGCTACTTGGTTTTGGAGCAGAAGGATTAGTCCCTTAACATTACTGATTCTCTAACTTAAATCTGCAGAGAGCAGTAGAAACGGAGAAGGAGACATCTGAGCACAATGGCTGTAGTTTACATGAGGGATGAGACAAGAATAATTACAATCAATCCTACCTGCAGCATCTAAATATTTGTAACTTTGACAAATAGGAGGCTAAGGAGAGGAGAATTTTGAAATGATGGTAATAATTAGGTAAAGGCTGCTGTTTGACTGGGAGGTAGTGTATTGGATGTGCCAAAATATGAAATACGTATAATCAGAAATGCACATCCCAGCTGTGTTGTAACTTGTGTAGAGAGCCTATGTGCATGCCATCAAGGACAACAGAGCCGGCTCCAGACACATAGAGGCAATTCCAATGTCAGAAATAGCTGATATCCTATTCAAGGCCATCTTGGCATAAAGTCTGAGTATCTGGATTTGCTGTCATAAGAAGGATTTCTTCATTTGCAGGGAGTTGGAGTTGTCATTTGTGCCGGGAGCTGCTCAGAGAGAGAGCATCAGCTTTTGGCTTCCAGGCCTGAGGAGCTCCAGCAATCAAGAAACACTTTGCTCCTGTTGTTGTCATACCAGCACACAATTCCCATCCAGAACACAAAGACACAACCCACATCAAAATGAATGGACACTCAAGTACAGGAAGAGGTATCTGTGGTATTCACTGTCACTGATGCAGAACCTCCTGGGCTCTACTAGAAGAATCACGTACTTTCCTGATGCTCCGGATGAAATCTCTTCCCTGCTATGCATGGTTGCTGCTTACCGTTATGGGCTCACATGGATTATAGGAGGGGGAGGGTTGTTATATCGATATGAAGAAGTCAATTTTGTGTGGCCTTGTGCTTTCTATTTAGTTTTCTTCTGAAGGAGACATAGTAAGGAATCTCCCAAGGATTTGTTGGTAAGTGCTTTGGTGGGAAGCAGAACCAGTTGTTACTGCACAAAAGCTTGCCTGGAAGTCCCTTTTACTGCAACTGCTCTGTATTCTTAGGGTGGCTTTGCGTTGCGTTAGTTCAATACTTCCCATGTTGTGAATGATGTGTTGTCACTGAGAGAAGCACTGATCAGAACTGGGGGAGTGACACTTTCTCTCTTGGATCAAATGCTTTGATTTGGCAGATCTTCAGACATCTGGTTTCAGTGTTTCTGAAGGAAGAGCACTGCCAGTATGAACATACACAGATGCTTAAATGCTGCGTTTGGTATTTTTGGATATTCAGGCACACCATCCCACTCCGGTGCTATCATGCAGTTCAGATGCATCATTTTATTTTTACTGAAAAAAAAATTGTGAGTGGTTCTGCATGTAACTGATTTACTGTCCAGCTCAGAAAACTGAATGAAAGAAAACTGTCGTTTTAACTTGATCATAGAAAATAGAGGTTCCAGTTTTCTGAGCAATCTAAAGTAAGCTGAAAATAGGAACGACATTGGCATAGGGTCACATGAAGCACTTTTGATTTTTTTTTTTTTTTTTTCTGATTTCTAAACTAGAATATTCTGCAATTGAAAGCTGAAATTTTAGTTTAGGAATTGCCTAATCAGAACTTCCCACATTTCCAGAGTTATACTGGTTTTTTATCAAAATGATTATCAAGATTTGTGAATTTTCAAATCATTTTGCCCCCAAATTCTCTATAACCACATTTTTGGCAGAAGCCTTATCAAGCTCCGGTCAAAGGAATCATTTACTTGAACCTAATATCAAAAGAAAGATTTTCATAGTTATTTTAAAATTTAAATAGGAATACTTGTATTTTGTGCAAACAAACCTCTGCATGTGAAATGAAGAAGCATTAAGCGAGAGCATCAATTGAAAAAGTATTTTCACAGTTGAGTCCCTGTGATTGACTTAAGACATCATCAGGAGGACAAGTGAGTACATTAAAACATTTTTATCCGATGCATCTTTTAAGGTTAAAAACATGCAACTCCCCAAATGGCCAAGTAGCCCAGAATGACCAATTTTGTGGGTGTGATTTACATTTCTTTCTATGCATAGATTAAAGTGGACTTAAGATACACGTTTATGAGAGTCCCAAGCAACACGTGATTTGAGTTGCCTGTACAAGTAGGTAAGAGCACTGAAAGTTATATTTGGGATATTTATTCTGGTTGAAACTTTTCTGCAAAATGAAATGTCCCTGAAAGGACACTGTGAAAGAGTAGCAGTGAACTAATTTTTCTTTTTTTCTCCTGCTAATTACACTTAGTTAGAATGAACTATACTGACCTAACGCACTTTTCCTCATTATTTAGATAGTTTGTTCACCTTTAGTGTTTTGTTCAGCTTACAGTAGTCGTGCCAGCTGTTGGATTCTCCCACGTGCTCTCACAACATCGTCTCAGACTGCAGTGGGAGTACTTTAACCTGTTAGAAAAGGGGTTTAGGAAGTGTTTATCCTAGTTGTATTGGACCAAATTCCTCCAGGAGTGGCCACCCACGACATTCATTTAATACATTATCTTTCTGTCTGACAGTTTTGGGTGAGCCAAGAGTATAAAGATATTTGAGCATCAGATGTAGGATCTCTCTGCATGAGGTGTCTGGTGCCTCTCTGGACAAAGCTGTAAAGCACATGTCAAATGAAGCTTCTTTCTCCCTGTCCAAGGAACTGCCAACTCCTGTGGTCCCGTTCTCACTGCTGAGCTGCTGTCACCCAGTCTGATGGCTGGCCCCGAGGACATGTCTTGGTGGTAGTGCGTGATCCTGAATGCAGGGCAGCATGGAGTGAGCCATGTACTGGGGGATCTGCCCCAAGCCTGGGAGCAGCTGAGGGCCACAGCTGCTCTGCAGGAGCTTTGGCACCTATCTGATCTGCTGATCTGACACTTTGGGACCACTGCACAGTTTGTGCTGCTGCTCTGACTAGGAGGGCAAGTATATGCTTGGCAGAGACGCTGTTTGACTTCGTCATATGAAAGAGTAGTGGCAAGAGAGACAGGAACTGGGAGTGTGAGTGCTGGATGGAAAGTCTGTGATGGAGCTGATGATGAGAGCAGCAGAGGTAGCTTCTGGTGTTCAAGTTGGTGCTCAGCTGCCTGGGATGCTGGGCTTAGTGAGCTCCATTATAGTGAGTTGTTGCCTTCACATTTGCTAGTATTTGTGTCGACCTTGGGACTGAAGTAGAAAAATACTTATTGCTTTAGCCTACATTTAGGCAGACAGCAGTGGCTTTGTATCTAAGCACCTGGTAGTCCTTTGTATGATGTTGGTGGGAGTGACTGGTACAGAAAGTCAGCATTCTGTCCCTGAAATGGAGACACTGACGGACGAGCTGTGCTTTTCATGCACACCTGCTCTCCTGTTGTACCATTTTGATCCATACCATGGACCATTTTTTTCTCCCACACCACAGTGAATACTATCTTTCATGTTTGTAAATATTTCTCAGTGACATTGCTGAAGTTTCACCACTAACAAGGTATGATGGAAGGATGGATTGCTAGATCTTCTGCAGTAAAATATTGTCAGAGCTCAGCGAAAGAGGGAACTTATTCATGGTAATCTCTTCAGCTCCATGCTGTAACATAGCCAGGAAGCATCAGGTAACTCTCAGGAGCAAATGAAATGCCAGCTGTCCCATGCTGAGGGCATCCTACAGCTGCACACTCCCTACTTCTTGAGCTCCCTCCTAGGAAAGAGGCTGGTACATTCCTCCCAGGGACATTGTTAGCTTGCATTCAGAACTGTACATCTTGCTGCACTTCTGAAATACTAATCAAGCTCCCAAGTGTTTGATGCTGTACCTGCTTTACCAAGATGTGGGGAGGTGATAGCACAGTCAAGAAGTTCAGAACCTCAGAGAATCACTTCCCTGCCATCAGAGTACCATTTCTATATCGTCATTGGGGTGAACTGCTTTGGCAAAACCAGACATATCTTGAACTAGCATGTGACTGATGTGATGTAGGCAGCAAGCAGTCTGAGCTTCTCTTTCTTCTTGAGGCAGGATGTGCAATGCTGCCCACAGAGCAAATGCCTGTTGCTGACAGTGGCAGAGTGTGGTGGGTTATTCATAGGCAAATGGTTCCTTTCAGCTTTATAAAATGAACCAGTTCATTAGGTAAATGTTTGTGGTGCGGTGGGCAGGGCAGCAAGGGGACATGTCACCTGAGAGCTAACAAAGCCAAGTGGGCAGGGAGAGCTGCTAGACAAAAGCATGTTGGGTTTCCATTTAAACAGACAATCTGAATTGAGACAAAATTCAAGGTACTGTGCCCCTTATGCACTCTGGAGACAACAGGAATTTTTCTTTTTTGCTTGTTTGGTTTTTAACCAGTGATGGATTTGGTAATTTGTCCATGTACCTGCTCTCCTGCGTGGTGGGATTCACATTCCGGGTGAGAATTTGTTGCCAGCCCTTCAGGTGATCAAACTCTGACATGTTTTGAAGCTCTCTGTGTAGGCAAGGCAAGCTGTATATTAGCTCAAAGTAGGACAGACGGTGTTAGATTCTGCATCCCTCAACGTCTTCAAATCAAGACTGGGACTGTTCCCACGAGACTTATTTTAATTAAACACAATTTTAGTTAAACACAGGAATGTCAGACTGAAGAAGGTTTGTGCTGTAGAGGAAGCTAGACTAGATGATGTAATTGTTCTTCCTGTCCTTATTATGAAAACAGATGTTTACTGGTCAAGGGGATGTATTTAAATAAAGTTGTCTCTGGATAACTGACTTAAAATATGTTAGTTTAGCATATTCATGGAATGCTTCTCATTTTAACCCATTTTGGGTGACAAAAAAAAGTCACTTACAGAAAATCAACTTTATGGGTGCAGTACATCTGTCATGGCCACAGTGGCAGCTGTGTTGGTGCCAGCTATGACAGGCTTTTCCAGGGAATGAACAATTCAGACTGCATTGTGTGAAACTGCCACTTGGTTCTGGCTTTCCCCCATAGCTATTTGTGCAGGACTGCCCCATGTGTGCTCATGGTGGCTGGGGAGTGGAGCTGCTTTGAGGCTGCAGTGGTGGCTCTGAAGCCAGCAGACAGAGAAATGGTCACCATCTTTGGATTGAATCTGCAGCATCTGAGTAAAAGCACACCTTAGGCCAGTCCTTGAGCTAGGAAAGCCACTGTTAAGTGTGTTCTGAAGCTGACATTACTTTAAATAACTTTGAAATTGTATTCCTCACCTTTCTTTAAAAGAGGCTCAGTAAATTCTGCCTCAAAGGAAGAACCTCCTATACCATTCTGCATTGTGGGGCTGTTGCGTGTTTCGCACACCTACACACGTGGTCTGTCAGGGGTTGCTGGGGGGAAGGGAGAGCGTAGGGGCAGAAAGGAATATTAATTAAACTTGTCATGGCTGGAGGGGTCATATGCATTGTGCACAAGAAAATTCCAGGTAGAGCTGGGTGTGCTTTTTCTGTGTAGTATAAATTTATTAAAAAAAAAAAAAAAAGATTTCTTTTGGGGGAAACAGAATTGTTCATATATTCATAGGTAATCTGGCATATAATTTCATACAAAAAAAAAGGGGGGAGGGGATGCGGAGGGGGAGAGGGAGGGCAGGAATATCAGAAAATTTGAATCTTTCAGAATGAATGTGACCAGCAGGCAGGGCTGTCATTAGTGTGGACCTGGTGTCTCTAGGTGGAGTTGGGAAGTGTGGGGCTTGTTTCCATATAGAAAAGGGTTTGCAGCACTCCTCTGAGTGGAGGAGTGGGGCTGAAAGTCCTGCCTTCCATCTGCACTGCTGGAGAGATTGGGGAGTCCTACCTTCACCCGCATCAAAGCACTCAGCAGAGTGTCCGCAGGAATGGCAAACAGCAGCTACACTGTGGGGAGAGGGAGAGGAGGGACTTGGTGGGCTTTACTCCTTTCTTTCATAAATGTTAGCAAGAACATCAGGTGTTTTGCTGATGGGGACTCAAGCCAATAGCTTGTTAATGTTTGCAATACATTTCTGCCACAGAGAGTGAAAATGCCAAGTACTATTACAGCATTCACCTGTGCATTTAGAACAAACATTGTTACTGTTATTTTGAAATGAGGAAACTACAGTTTCCAGATCATCTTACCCTTTGTGCATGCATAAAGTTAACAATGAAGCCCTTCATGCTGATTTTTCAGGTACTGATATTTTCTTTTCAGACCATAAATTTAACTTCCACAGTGCATCAGGAAACATTCCCCCTCTCCCCATTTCTCAGGAGCCAAGGCAAGGAAGAGCAGCTTTGAATCTTCATATTCTGAGTTATAAAGTACAACAAGTCAATTTCATGGTCATGTCCTCTTCACATCTTGAAGAAATGGCCTGGTTGGCTGGGAGAGAGCTCCTCCTTTGGCAGCCTAGAAGGGTCTTTGCTAGCATCTGTCTCATCTGTGCATGAGATATCTTAGTCTGGGGTTTTGTCTTCTTGGAAAGGACTCTTCCAGCTGTTGCTCTATCAATCTTTGAAAGTGCTAATTCTCATCAGAGAACTATATGCTTAAAATGTTTAAAATCAGGATAAGGAATTCCTTAAATTCCTCACGATTTTAAAGGGATGCATGTCAGAAAGGCAGAGCATCACCACCACCTCAAGAATTGTGCTGGAGCACATGTATCGAGTCACAACCCAGGTGTCAGGAAATGGCTGCATTTTGATATCCACTACGTGCTGGCAGTGCAGATTTTGCCAGCAACCTTAATTGGGAAGTAGCTACTCAAAATCAAGGGAAAAGATGTGGATGTTGTGCCCAATATATCCTTATTTCCTAGACTTCTTAGGAATATAACACAAGGGATGTGCCCTTGCATCCTTCTGGGGAGGTTATAAGTGCATGAGGAATTTCCATGTTCTCTCCTTTGGCCTTCATTATGGAATATCCTTCATTGTTCATCTTTGTGTTTTTCTTCTCCTAAATTTATCCCTGGATTTCAGAGAAAGTGTGTACCAAAGCTGATCTGAAGGGTCTAGAACGACTCAGAAATAGAGAGAGGTTCAGGCTGAACCACCAACTTTCACCTCTCCCTTTAGAAGTGTTCAGCAAACCCTTGATCATTGCAGGGAATCAAACTCACATGCTGACTGAATCTCAATTCTGCATTAAGGTCACACAATCATTCTGTTAGACTCTTTTGTAGTCATAAAATGTTCTTTAAAAATGCAGGAAGAAATGTTCCATCTTTACCTTGATGGCATCGCCTTTTTGTGCTGCAGCAGAGATCAACAGCCCTCCCTCCAGTTTACTCTGACTTTCTTCCAGCACCACAGCCTGGGTCAGCAGTAAATGGGGACAGGTCCAGGAATAATCTGTCTCATTGAATTGCGGATGTAGGGGAGACTCAAAAGCATTCAGGTAAGTTGTCATCTGCGCTGATAGTCAGATCACCTAAGAATCAGAAGTTTCTGTACAAGTTAAAGTAATACCTGTTCCTTATCTGCCATTTCAGGCACTGTTTTATTGTTTTTTTTTCCACTAGAAGTTGTTGCAAAGAGAAACATCAGTGAGAAGTGGATGAATTAGGATCTTTGCTGTTGAACTTCTATTTGACAGTGGGACAACATTGTCCCCATTAATCATAAGAGGGGAAGGGAGGAGGATAAATCTGTGACATCATAATGTGTCTCTCAGATAAAATGATATTATCAGCTTTTTAATGCACCTTTGAAATACTCAAGAAATTATCTCAAAATAGTGGCAACCACATGAATACATTGATAGAGCCTTGCTGTATGATGCTATGTTATTTAATTTTAATTATAAGGAGATTTTAACTTGTATATATTGGAATCGTATTTGTGCATCATACTTATGTTATTTACTGTAAATATGGCTCACCTACCAGGAATTGATCCAAAGTCCTATAATAGGTGTTACTGACCTTGAAATAGAAGGAGGAGGGAGAAATGCCGAAGGTGTGTCAGCATTCTAACAAAATAAGGCAAAAATTAGCCCTTACAGTATAATCACTGTCATATATGGACCATGATTTATTGACAGAAGGAAAGGTATAAATTCACTAAAAGATAGACCAATTTCTCAGCTGCTCTCAGTCAATTCTTTGATTAACTTCAAGCCTAGAAGCTGGCCAGGTGTCTTCAGAAGGCTCAGCCTAAGTAGTATGAGTCCTTAGTTTTTGCTTAAAAATGTGCAGTTCTTACTAGTTGAGTACACCCAACACATGCAAGAAAATAGGTGTTTCAGCCCCAGTTGAGTCTGGTCTGGTTCTGGTGATGCTGTGTCATAGATGTCAAAGTGAAGTGAGACATCTCAGCTGACATTACAGAGCAGTCAGCAACCAGCCTGAATTTCTCCCTGACTTGATGGAGTTTGGACTTCGGTGTTCAGTTTCCAGTGTACTATGTTTTGATTTTCTGTAAACAGCTTCTTCCTGCAGTACGTGTTTTTCTATCATCAAACCTCACTTTACTTAGCTCTGAGCTCACCTCCCTGCCCCATTTCTAATCTGTTCCAGTCTTTTTGTTCTCTCTCTCTCCTCACGTGGAAGTCTTGTCCAGCCCATGTTGTTAGCATCTGTCCCTGGAGCCTGTCCTCTTCAGCTGTTTGCCCTGAGGCTGCAGGGGAGTTGGCATGACTAGGATATGCCATAGATTTACCACGTGGGACATAACCTCCTAAACATGACTTCCCTCCTGGCTGTACATCGTGGCATGGTCCTTGTTTTTAGCCACTCCATGAGCGGTCTGTAGCACCTTTGTGGCCACTGCAGGTCTGGAGGGAGCTTATTTGGCAGCTGTGGGAGCCACACTGCCTCACTGCCAGCACACGTGCCCGCTTTCCCCACTGCTCCAGCTGGGGATGCGGTCAGGCTGTCGGCACATGAGATCACATCCAGCACGGCTACTCCCTGGAAGCCAAAGTGTTGCTTAGTAACCTACTCATGGAAGTACCAGAAGCATTTTTCAATCTGTCACGTCGGTGAAAAACACTGGCTTCTTGATTTAGAGGCATTCTGCTGTGTGTAGCAGGGCTGTGCTCCATTACCTTGCATCCAGTGCTATCTGCAAAGAGGGAATGAACCTCCCTTTCTTGGAGGGGCTGGGAGGAAAAAGCCACAGGAAGGATTTGCCCAGCATTGCGTGTGAAGCCTTTAGTCTGTTCTCCTGACATCCAGACCTTATCTTAACTCCCTTCCTATGGGAGATATTCCCTCTTTATGGAAGTGCACTCCGGGGTCCTATAGCAATTGGCCAAACAGGATCCTGCAGCACCTTCATCTGTTATGAGACATTACTGCAATAAAACATGGTGTGTCATACAGAAATTGGGTGAGGTATTGCAGTATTTATGTTGTAAGCCTCAGTGTCACGGACAATTGCTACAGAATAATGTATGTCTTTTTTTAATGCAGTGGAGTCATAGCAGCTTCACAAGAGCACACAGAGCACAGACCATCTGGGATTACATGCTTTCCTCAGTTATTTTCAAATTATTGTGTTATCAAGAATTAAATGAATAACATCCTCTCATTTAAAAATAAACTGTTAAGGGCTTTTACGTTACTTCCCTTCTTTTAAGATTAATTCAATTTGGGGGCAAAACATCCAAGAACTGTGTTCTGACTTGAAAGACTTGCTCCTCTATCTGGTTCTGGTTTATCCTTAAAAATGGCTTCAAGAAATAACTGGAGGTTTTTTTTTTTTGTTTTGCTTTGTTTTGTTTTTTTTGTGTGTGATATTTTATTGATTTTTGCTATCAAATCTCCTCAGGAAAAAGGTATCTATAGAATGTCTAGCTTTGAGCTCTGGTGTCCAGCTGGGCTCTTCCCATCCTGCTTCTTGTCATAGTGAGTGGAGTCATGATCTGTATTAGGACACTGTATGACCCATTTTTATCTGTGTTCCTCAAAGCCCTCTGCAAAACCTGAAGGTGTTTTAGGAAGGTCACTGGAGGTCCAAAGTGACCTGAAGATCGGGTTGTCCGAAAAATGTTCCTGAGAGGCTCTTCCAGTCTTCAGGGATCCTCTTACCCATGACCATGGGTATGGTCATTGGTCACAAATGGTACCCCATTTGTGGGGTATGCCATAGATTTACCAAGTGGAAGTGACTCCTATCCATTCTCAGTACTGTGGTGATGAAATCATCAAGGTTTGTTTCCTGTACGAATCCCTTTCAGCAAAGGTTCAGTGACATGCACAACAGCTGTGGTCTAAAGCTTAATGCAGAATGAAGTTAAAAAATCATCCTGCAACATGAGAAGATCCCAAATTGATTTCTGAAGAGTTCCTGAGGAAGTAAGTACAACATTCCTATTGTCCTTAGTCTAATAGTTAAGTTTGGCTATGGGATACAATCTATTTTAGTTTACGTGTAATTTAAGAAATAAATACACAAAGTAGTCAAAAAATATTCCTGATGGCTGGTGTGTTACCAGTGTGAGAGCGATTGAATACTCTGGGGGTTCTTGCACAGAAATGTCTCACACAAATGTTCAGAAAGAACTGGCTTCTCTGGGCAGCAGGGAGCGATTTTAGCAGGGGAGTGAAAGGCTGTGGAAGGAGGCCTGATTTACATTTTAATTCTTAGAGCTGGTGGTGCCAGCTCAGGATTGATGGAAATCTTGCCCTCGTGATGCTATGCTCTGTGGAGGGACGATTCAGAGAAGCACTAAGTGTACAATGCATTGTTTGTTTGAGAAGTAGCAGGGTATCTATTTTCAGTCTTCTAATACCTTGACCTTGGAGTTTGTTCGTAATTAAATAGTCTTGTCTAACCAGCTAGCCATTGAAGCAAAAGAGCTGTTGTTATAAAGAGAGTAGGCGAGGGAAGAACAGGCAGACTAGGTAACTTCTAGGCAATTTTGAGAGTGCACAATGATTCCCTGCAGACACAGCACCTCTTTCTTCTGCACAGTCTGCGAGATAAAATGATTTAAGCTGAGACACATTTTAGAGCACCTGAGTTAGTTGGCTGCAAAGCAGGAGCTGTTCTATTAACGTTCATTCCTGCTGTTTAGTTTTTGAGGTTTTTATCTGTTAGTATATTCAAAGCCTTCTTTTAAATATTATGGAAAGAACAAGGTGGGGGCTGGAACCTGCTCTGCCTCCTGGCTGTACATAGCCCTACCCATAAATGACATGTATGACACACATGTACGTTGAATGACTGCATCATAGTGACTTTTGTAACGCGTTGACTGTGGTGTCAAGATGACATGGCTGGAGAAAACTAGGAATACTTCACTTGATATGAATAGAAAATCAGTTAGTGAAAAGGCAGTACAGCCGAGGAAGTTTTCTAACTCTGAGCCACGATCATGTCTTCTCGATATGCCATCTCTGTGTCCCCTGAATAGATCTTTGTCCTTTTTGCTGCATAAAAGAAATTGACTTCGGTGTCTTTGCTCCAAGCTGGAGTCACTGGTGTTCAGTCTTTTTGTAATGTGCTGATGAATTGAGAAGCCAGTCTTGACAAGGGCTTGCCAATTTCCATAGCTTCCCACCAGAATAATCTAATACCAGTCAGCAAATAGATGGGAGGGGTTCTGGGATGCTGCTGACTGAAGCATGCCACTGAAGTATCAGTCTTCAGGGCAATAGTGACAAGGAGATTTTATATCAATGCTTGTGAGAAAAATCTGGCAGTCTCAGATGAAGCTGGTTGTCCTGTTTGTCACACAGTAAGCACAGATGCAAGCCAGAAAGAACGAGTGAGAAAATAAGGCTTTCTGTCTGACAAATGCTCCAAATATCACTCTTGCTTTTGAGAAAAAAAAAGCCTTCTGTGACTGATGCTGGGGTGGCAAGGAGGTGGGCTCGTAGGGCTAGAGAGGCATGTCACCATAGCACATTTGTCACGATGTGTCTTCAATCATGTAAATGTACAAGAATAGGATAAAAATGCTTGTCATTTTGTTCAGCTTGCTTTTCAGCTAAGTACACTACCTCCAGGTCACCTGCTGCTACCCCACTGAGGCCTCATTGGGGTTTATGCTATGCTACTTGGTATTCATTTTTGGTGGCCACAGGCTAAGGTTACAGGTTTAGGAACCAGTACATAATCATAAGGACAGCTTCTTGTGTTATTTTTCTCTTTCCCTCCTTTGTAAAGTGTGAACCTTTCTTTTGAAATCTGAAGTGACTGTATTGTTACAATGTGTGTATGTAGAGATTTGTTTTGATATGGCTTGTGTGGAGGACCTTTGCTCCTTTTATCTCACACTCCGTTTTCTTAAGTGCTTGATAGCTTTGCAAGCCTTTTGTGGGGGAGGAGAGGTGGTGGGTGGGCTCTTACTCTTCAGAATTGATGCTTTTTGAGGAAGATTTGCACAGCTTTGCACAGAACGGCTGAGAATGCAGAGTGCTCTCGATTGTTCTTAAGCTGTCCTGATCTGATTTCTTCCAGCAGAAACAGATCGGTTTTGAAACCCTCAGAAAAATATGTTGCTCAATGCTGTAACCAAGGAGGTCCATCACTTTGTCATGCACAGAGATGTGCATGGTGTTTCTCCCCAGTCTGAAGGTGTCTATTTGAGCACAGAGTGAGTCCCACCCTTCACACATACAACTGATGATGCTCTGTGGCTAATGACGTTGCACCTGCCAAGGATCAGCCCTGTTGTGTTTTGGCTGTTAGGAAACCCATGAGGGAAATTCTATGGGTGTTGGAGAGGAGAGGGCAACATCTGCAGGAACCTCTCAGCTCTGCAGGATTTCTTTGGTATTCACACACATTTGCAAGAATGTATTCCAAGCATCTTGTACTGTTATTAGTAACTTGTACTGTAGTTTGTTAGCTGTGTTGACTACCTACCTAACTAATATTCTGTTGAAATTTAGAAAAAGTGTAAACGATTGCAGAAAACAGGAGTTTAGAACTTGTATGTACTTTTTTTTTCTTTTTTTCTTTCTTTTTTTTTTTTTTTTTTTTTATATTAAAGCACTTCAATTAAAAGTTCAAGGAAAAACGTTCCTGTATCCTTTGCTGTGTGCTCAAACAGATGTGTGAAAGAGAAGGGAGAGCGCTCTTTCTGAGATCCTCCCCTCTTGCTTTGGTGCAAATGAGGTGGTCAAACTCTGTAGAGGGGCACTGCATGTTGAAGTTTATTCAGCAAAGCAGACGTCTGTCACCTAGTTTGGTATCTGTTATGGACTAATGCGGTGCCTGAGGGTGAGGGCCAGGCTGGGCAAGCCCCAAGTGTCAGAGGGAATGCCGAGCCATTGCTAAGTGGTGATTCATCGAGTGAGGAGCTACAAAAAAGCTGGTGACTGGGGAGAGTTAATGAATGAGTCCACTGTGAAGTATGGTGATGTAAAAGGAGGAAAAGTGTTCTTTCCTGAGTTGTTTCAGAAGTACTGGGGAGCTGTAGGTCAGAGCATTGGAAGAGTGGTGTCAGCAAATGGCTGTGCACAACTCACTGCATCCCAGAAACTGTTTGTCTTTCTCCCTTATGAAACGTGTGTATCCAAATAGTCATCTGGATCACATCACTCTGGGATCAGAGTGCACAAACAGATCTCTACAGCGGCTTGTGATGTGGTGATCTCAGCCCAGTTCTTAGTAGCCAGATGCCCATAATACGAAAACAACCATCAAAACTGTCTCTTTTGCTGGCACTGTTTAATCAAAGGAACAATGGGGGAGAATGGCAGTCCTATTTCTACAAAGAGCCCTTCAATGTCAAATTTGCTATACAGTAGAGTAGCATTCACCTCTGTGGCACAGACCACAGCCACTCTGGAGGGGAACAAAAGCTCTCAGACAGCACACAATTAATCCAGCATCTATTAAAGCAAGCTCGGGTAATTCTAAAGGAACGCAACAGATTTCTGCTTTACATTATTCTAAGCACTATTTTTTAACTCTACGTGGTACACACGGCTCAAAAAAAGAAACAGGAGCCCGTGCTTCTGGCAGCTGTTTTCTCCCGAGTCGCTGTTTTACCTCCCTGGCATCTCATAATCCTGAGACAAAAACCAAGAACAGCAAAGGACGAACGTTAAAATGCTGATGACTTTCCTGCTGCCCACAGCCATGAGCAGGTGCCCAGTGCAGAGCAAACAATTAGTTCCATGGCCAAGGGCACTAATGAAAGCTGGTTTCCTATGGATTTATGACAACACATTGCCTTGGTGCCAGAGACTTGAGGAGTTAGACTTCGTTAATATCTTGAATCCAGATGAGGATTTTATCAGCAATTGGCTCTGGAATGGCTTAATGAACTCTGAAGCAGTGATACATATAGAAAAAAGATGTTTTGCATATGAGAAACTGAATTTAGTGGAATTTCAAAGATAGTGTAGAAAAACTGATCGAAGCAAATGTGTCTTGTCTGCTAAGTCCTAAAAATGGGATTCGTGCTGTCTGTATTTCTGTGCTGTCTGTCTACACTTAAAACTTTTTCCAGTGCAGCTATTTTGAATAGCAGTGTAATTAATGGGCACTATAATGATATTTCCAATAAAAGGCATGGAGTAGTTGCAGCAGTGAAGTATAAAGGTGTAAATAAACAATATGTTTTCACAAATGAGGAAAGTGTCCCAGATAGGTTTTCTTTTAAAGCTATTTAGAAATGGTTTGGAACAAGAGGATGAAGAGCGAGGTGAGAAGTTTACTGAGAATGAAAAACTGTTCTGGGCAGTCAAAACAGGAATTGGCTATGAAGGGTTGAAGAAGTTTTTCATGCTAATGAATGAATGGGTTGTAAAATGGCAGATGAAATCCACTGTTGATAAATGCACAGTAATGCTTCTGGGGGAAAAAACCTACCCTAATTATACATGCATAATGAGGGGCTCTAGATCAGCCATCACTGCACAGGAAAATGATCTCAGCAGCATCGCTAATTCTGAGAAAATGACAGGTCAAGTCTGAGCAGGTGTCAAAAAAGCAAGTAAAATATTAGGAATTACTGGGAGGGGAGAAGGAAAAGGAGGAAACAGAAAATGTTATAGCCCTGCATAAATCTAGGGTGCGGTCCTGCTCTAGGAAGTTGCCTGCAGCACTGGTTCCTCCTCCATGGCCCTACCCTCCCATCCACACAGCCCAGCACATACAAATCCAAAAAGCCTTTAGGAGAGCTAAGAGGGGACCAGCAGGAAGCCTTGGAGCTGTGGGACAGCTTCCATATGAGGAGAGAATATGCAGCGGGACTCCTGGCAGGCTGTGAGATGACAAAGCAGGAGAGCCAGGTCTGCAGGTTTGCCAGGAGCCAACCACCACAACCAGCTGCACGGCTGGGCCCAGGAGCACCAGGCTGAATGCACACAACCCAGCAATGAGGTATGTGCTCTCAATCACCTTCCTTCACATGTTTTTTTTGCCTCCAAGACCCTTTTAGAGGTTATGGTTAGGGAAAGTGAATCCCAGTGAAATGCAGCATTACTCTGATTCTCACCACTTATATTGACAGAGCTGTTTCCATCCCTGGATATCTTTCCTACCTCTTTATTTTGTGCCCATACAGAGGAAGATCTTTGCAAGACTTTCGCTGTACTTGATCAAGTGATGCTATGACAGCTTATTTAATACGGCAAAGCTGATCAAGTGTTATCAAATGGTTCGAAGTTGAAGCTTTCAGCACTAGTCTGGCACCAAAACTGTAGGAAACGATAGGGTCAAACTCAGCAAACCACAGCTAAATTCAGGGGGTGGAAAACTCATAAGCCAAGGGTGAAACTCACATCCCCTTGTGTAGGACTGGGTTTATCACTACGTGTGGGAGTTTCCCAGGAAGTTATGAGGGTGATGGCAAAGACTGAAGCAGACCTTTCACAACAGTAAAAATTTATTTAATGGCTTTATATTTTGTGTTCCCAAAAGGCCCTAGCGTGACTATGTGTGTTGATAGTGCAATAGCTCACAGCCTTGCCATCTCTGCATCAGTAATTTCTTTGTGTGCTCACCTTATTCCTGGGAAAAAAGAATCCTCAGGAAGGGAAGCAGCCTCCTCCCTGGGGCTGCCTGCCTGGCGCTGAGTAGCAGAAAGCCCTGTCAGTCTCAACGAGGAGCTACAGAGAGCAGAAGTACCTCCCCGGCAGCCTGACCTTGGCAAGGAGACCGGGGACTCGACATTCGCGACAGGCAGCAGCTCCCTTTAATAAATATTTCACGGCAGAGAGCCGCAGACTTGGGGAGAAAATGGAGGGCAGGGTTCAGCCAGTGACGCAAGGTGATGTGACCAGACCTTGTCTAGCGGGGCTGGAGGCCACCTAATTGGCATTCCTGCGCCATGCTTGTGGAGAGCATTCTCAAGTCCTCTGGGAACACAAAAATAATTAAAAGGCCCCTCAGCACATAGTGTTGCTAATGGGCTATTGCCTGCCATGTGATGTTTTTGTGCTCAATTAGAGCCGAGCAACACAGACTGCTAAAAATTCACGTCTCCCTCTGAGAGACACCTGGGTGGACCAAATCTCCTCTTTGGATGCACAGTGGCCCTCCTTGCACATCACTGCCCCGCGGCATTCACGATAAGGAGCTGAAGGAAGAAGCGACAGAGAAGCTTCGTGTGGCGAAGTACATGCTGCTTTCTTTGCTGCTCGGCAACGTGAGCTCTAGCACGGGCAGCTTGAGCGTTCAGCTCAGAGCAGCCATCCTGGTGTGCCCTCGGCACCGCCGCGGTGACCTTGGGCTGCAGAATGACTGTGCATATGGCGTGAAGCAGAGGCCCTGGACCTCTTCCAGGCGAGCGCTCACTTGCGCACAGCACGTCTGTGCGGCTGCTGGCTGCTCCCGGCACAGTGCACGCTCAGCCAGCGCCAGCTGCGGCCGCCTGGCACAGAGCCTCTACAGACCCCCTCCCTCGCCCCCAGCCTTGTGCTCCGCACAGAACCCCGTATGAGGTGATGCTGAAAGACCTATCAACACCTTCCATATTTTATCAAGAGAGATCCAGCCACCTAAAGACAGTTTCTCTTAGCAATCTCAGCTCTGCTCTGTGCCCAGGTCCTCTCCTGTTTAACAGCCCTCCTGTGCCTGCTCAGTGCCCGGTGCCTGCTCTCCCACAGCCCTGTGCGAGCCATCCAGGGTGCTTCATTTGGGTCCAAACAATTCGTCTCTGAGGTACAGTTGGTTGAGTATTCATGGGCTAAACTTTAGATAATTAGCATTGTTAATGTTTTCTGTGTGATATTACAGCTGTGGGCCTCATTAAAATGTCCTCTTGGGAGAAGCCAGGCAGAGTCAGGTGTCAGCCATGTTTTGTGTGGAAAAGCCCGCCTGCTATTTGGGAGCATTGTTTGTTCAAACACAGGACAGGAGGCTTCTGGGTCACCTTCCTGCAACACTGCCATGAACAAAGCTGATGGTCCCACCCTACCTCCATTCTCTATGCAAGGAATGGGAGAGGTGAGCCAATGGCAGCCGTTACCATCCAGGCAGTGCCCCCAGCGAGAAGCCCAGAGGATTCCGCATAACTCAAGCAGTGAGAGCTTCAAGGACGGGCTCTGCGTTTGCTCTTTTTGTGACCTTTCCGAGTCCTTTTCCTCAGGCTGGCAGCAGCTGGTCCGGCAATTATTTATGAACGAGAGCAGAGCTTTTCCAGCTGAAGGTGGTTGCTGTGGGCAGATGCCAATGCAACACATGGGCACATCCCAGCTGCTTGCAGGCTCTGAGCTCCAACAGAGATGTATGTTAACAGATACAGACACACGTGTGATTGTCATCTTGCCATCTCTGAAACCAATGGCTTCAGCTTCTGGGTAAGTTTTTCCAGCAGCTGTTATTTTTCTGCTATTTTTTGGGGTGTCCTGGTAGGCTGCTCAGATGGCTGACATTTTTTCCTTCCTTTTCATGTTAGCTAGTTAAATGTCCTCCCTTTCCACAGATCTTTTTGCTGGTGGGAGCAGTAGGTAGGTGGCTGAAAGAGCAGAGGGATGGAGA